AGAACACAACACAATGTCCCCGGTCAGGGCTCGAACCCGGACCGCTCGATCCGGAGACGAGCGCACTAACCATGAGGCCACCGCGCCTCCCACAATCAACAATACAATCAATCAATTAATCAATCAATCAATCAATCAATCAATCAATCAATCAATCAATCTACAATCAGCCACTCTCAGCCACAATAAGCCAATCCTGCGAGGTTTTTGAAGAATGTAACAGATGGTTTTCTTCTTATAGCTATCTTGTTTGTGCGTTAAGTGGATCCAGTCAGTCTTGTGGCACTGTTGTTTTATTTAGACCGGTCTTTTCGTTGGTGTCTACTTCTCGTGACTCCAATGGTCGTTTTACAGCATGTGATTTCCTTTACCCTGACAAGCGTTTTCGTGTGATTTCCCTTTACGCACTAAACACTAATCCTCAAAAGGATGACTTTTTACCTATGTTGCCTCCATGGGGGATTTGTCCGTGCCCTCCATTCTTTGTGGAGACTTCAACGCGATCTTCAACCGTCACCTAGATTGCGTTAGTGGCGTGGCCGAGTGGTTTAGGGCGCTGGATTTGAAATCTGGAGGTCCCTGGTTCAAATCCTCTGCTCTACCGCTATCTGGATTTGTTCTCCGTAGCCCCGAGTTCAACTGGTCAGCCTCCCACCTGCTGGGTTAATTATTTACAGTGTCCCCAGTTAGCACATTAGTGCTAAATACATCGACACTATAATAAAGTTATTATTGTTATTGTTACTGTTACTGTTACCGTTACCGTTACCGTTACTGTTACTGTTATTGTTATTGTTATTGTCATTGTTATTAGTGGTAGTAGGCCTCCGTCGGTCAGGGTTGACCATGGTTAGCATCCTAGTTGTCTGCTTGGCTGGAACACCGACGTCTGTGGCTGTAGAGGCCGATGCGGGAGTGACAGTCTCTGTTGCAGAGGCTGCACTTGTGTTCTGTCTCTGGTCTGTCGAGGCTGTCGCTTTGTTTTCTGCGGACCCGCCTCTCTATGGCGGCTTATGTCAGCTTCTCCTTCCCTGATTTGAGGTGTAGGGTCAGGGCTTCTCTCCACGTGGACCGGTTGGCTGCCAGGCTCTCCCAGGACTCTGTGTTGATGTCTACAACCGTCATGTCGCGCTTCACGACGTCGCGGTATCGCAGCTGTGGCGGCCCGGTGGGTCTTTCTCCACAGGCTAGTTCTCCGTACAGAGGTCTTTGGGGATACGGCCGTCTGGCATGCGGTGGACGTGGCCTAGCCAACGGAGTCTGCGCTGTCTGAGCAGTGTGAATATGCTGGGCAGACCTGCGCGAGACAGGACCTCAGTGTTGGGTACCTCGTCTTGCCACGATATTCCCAGGATGCGGCGGAGGCTTCTCATGTGGAAGGTGTTCAGACGCTTTTCTTGCCTGACGTACGTGGTCCATGTCTCGCTGCCGTATAGCAGTGTGCTGATGACACAGGCATTGTACACTGCCATCTT